AATATCAATATTCTGCAGACTGAGTCATATAATACAGGGTGAATAAATGTTGGCGTTTTCATAGGGTAAATTGGTAACTTTGGGAAATACGATGAAACTAACGATTTTTCTTTTGTTCGAAAATCCACTGGCAGGAACAACAATTTTTTATCATCTTCTGTTCTCAAATTATAAACGCAACTTCAATTTTTCTACATTCAAATACGTATGAATATCGTGTTTTTCTGTGAAGGTATAAGAAGGAAGCAACTGATACATTAACTTATTCAATCTTGATAGTAAAGCATTCCCACGAAAATTACGAGGAATATGATAGGTCAGAAAGCTTTGCCATACGTCTACTTATAAAAACAACCCGAAAAGTATTCGAGAAGAATATTATTTGACGCCTACATAATAAAAGCTACCATGAATACCACAGATATTGTTAGCAATGAAATGAAAACATCGTTTTGAGTTGACCATAGTCTTTGACTCTGATCAACTGAAGTCGTCTCCAGTGATATACGCTGCTCGCCAACAGCCATGGTACCACTGACAAAAATGATATGAGGAGGCAAGATAGGTTGAAAATCATACTTCGATTTCGAAATCAGGACGTCCCTTTTGCTTCCTCCTCCTCCTACCTCAATAACCTCGTGAGGTACTGGGGATGCTTTCATGAGAAGTGAGACAAAATTCGATTTTTCTGAACAGAAAATTTCCCAGGGAAGATATATGTAGTCAGTGAATTGAACGTCCTGATTTCGAATCCGACGTGATTTTCAACGCATCTTGGCTCCTGATAACATTTTCCGGAAATGTGGGTGATTTCATGGATGTTAGCAAGCAGTGTTTATCACTGGAGATGACTCTACGTGGTCAAAATGTTCACTTTCAGTATATCTCTTGCTCCTGAAAGTTTCAGAATCATTACTCAACAATTACGAAATATACAGGGGTGCTTTCATTAGACGTGAGACACACTGTATAATGTTCATCTTGAGTCAAGTCTCATCTTCATATCTCTCCATCTGAAGTTTCAGCTTAGAAATGGGATTTCAAAAACGGGTTGACAAGGAAAAAAGATGACTGCAAAACTGGAAAGGTATTTCTGTAAATGAAAGAGATAAGAAGACGATTTGAAAATTTTCCCTAGGTGATGAGAATCTTCATCTTCATGCCTCTGCTGTCGAAGTTGGAAAAACATGTTCTTGTGCATTTGGGATCCTTTTTGAAATTCCGAAATTTTTCACAGTTCCAGGTGACACCCTGTTTTATATAAAAAACCTCAGATTATAGCTGAAGGACTGGGCTAACGAACAGTGCGATCCGAATTCAAATTGTTCAAAGCAGAAAAAAGTTATTCATATTTGAACAGGGAAAAAATTTTGGGGTGCGACGGAAGTAGTGTTGAGTAGTTTAATTTCGTTTTGGAATCCTGTACAAGCATTGAAAGTTGCTCACTGTGTGCAACTCGCAGCGTTTGTAGTTTTTAATAGACGAACGTGAATATCTTGAGGAGAAACTTGACTGTCCTATAGTTAGAAAATAAAAGAAAACTGTTGATCATTGTCATAAGTAAGTCGGTAAATCAGCAACCTTCTGCTCATAGGCATACACAGTGAAAAATCTAGGAGCATTAGCAGCATTAATTATGCTCAATGAAGTTCATTGTTGTGTTATCACATTCGACTTCAGAATCACCATGCCCAGAATTATTTTAATGAGAGATATCGGAATTAGCTCGAATAATTATATTCTCTGATCATTCAAATGAACGGGATAATGGTTTGAGGAAACATTTTATTATATCAAGAAAAAGCAACTTTGATTCAATAACTTTCAATATATCAAGGGACGAAAGGTATCCATCTCCTTCCCTGTGTGAAGGGAAGGAAGTGAGATGCAACGTGATACAATATAATTGAATGGCGTTTTCAATACCGATTGCATTCGGAATTAATCAGTGAAAAGTGAATACAGCAGAAGGTGGAAAATCTTCATGTTCTAAACTCCATCACTCAAGTACAGTTCTACATACAATAAGAAACTAGCTAGAAGAATATCCATATATATGTATATTTCGTCATATTGAAATGTTGATACATGAATTCTTTCCATTTTTATAACTATTGTTCTGCGAAAAGTGAATCATCATATGAATTGAAGTGTGTGTTTATACCCTACTTCAATTTTCCATCTACGACAATCATTGATTTTACAGAAAATCTAACATCTGAAGTCGTATCTGACAATCAGGCCCTACTAGGGAAATTGAAAGGACAAAGAGCAGAATATATGTCTAATCCTTTTATTCACTAAAACCATTGTGAAATAAAAAATAGGAAAGAATAAAAGTTCAGCTGTGTCCGAATTCCTATCTAACTGATATCATTCAGTGACTCTAGTGTGTATGACAGTTTGACGTTGATGTTACCATTGCCAACTTTGAAACAAGAAATTTAGCGTCATTATTCTTATAGAAGCCGCGTAACGGTACACATATGGGTGTCATAAAGACTCCATTAAAACCGCAAAATAGAAAAAATATTTCAATTGGAGGTTAGGTTACTTCCCCCTCGATTCTACGCTCATGACTAGATTCATCACGTATAGTCGTGTACACACATTTAAATCTGCAGACAGATGCGACCTGAATTCCTCACCTTCAGGCCATCTTCAGCATGATTTTCATCAACTTTCCTTCTTGCAGGAGCAAGGGTTAGTGTTGTTCCTACAATAAGTAATATGTAATTTTTCTACTCACATATCCAAAATTACATTCAACGTACGGATATGTACCAGGCTGAATGATCGATTATTCACAGATTAAGGATCTGTTATTCATTCAAAAAATCAAACACGTTATAGTCCAAGAGCTGACTGCAAATTTGGACTGTCATCTGATAAGGAAATGATATTTGTTTCAAGAGTATATGAGATCATTGTAGTTTATCGAACGGCAACTGTGCCAATCACTATCCTGAGCAACATGATTGAAAAATTGCACTTTCCTGTGCGGAAATTTGCACTCGATTCCGCGATTTGATAGGAAGATGAGAATTATGCCATCCGATACCCATTGAATGGTAGATTTCGAAAACCTATCTGTGCCGATTCCACGGCACATCAATTCATTTGCTGCTTTCCGTTAGTGAGATCCCTTCCCAATACAATGGTTTTTGATTCACGTTGATAACCACGTTTTAAGCAAAGAATAATTTTGAGTATTTCATAATGACTGGTTGAAAAATTCGATCAACACTATGATAATGAGGTTGAATTACCTTAGGGATATTGATGTTTCAAGTTGTTAATCAATAAATTTATGTAGTTTCTGATTATTGTTATGAGAATTGTGAGATGCCATACTTCCTCAAAACACTCGTATCTTCTCTTAAAAATGAGATATGAATCGACAACTGTTATGTTGATCAGTGATAACACTTCAATGCAATGCTTAATGAAGCCAATAAGTTCTTTTTTATTCGGAGAAATGAGCGTGAACGTCAGTACTCAAACGTGGATCACCCTGTATATTTAGTTTCGCCTCATAAATATGATGAATTGAGTTTGAAAATCTACTTGTTCCGAGAAATTCCTCAGAAATGGATAGTTTGATCATGGACAATTCAATCAGTACTTTACGAGAGCTGTATACAGGGTGTATCTGAATAGCACCGAAAAAATTCAAAGTGGTGTCTTCTTGTGATATTCTAGCAAATAAAGTTCTTATGAATATGTGTCCTAGCTCGCTCAATTTTCGAGATACAGGATGTTGAAGTTGAAAGTATTGATTTCTTTTTATTTATAACCGCCCTGTATGAGCATTCATGGTGCCAAAATTCAGTATGGATGGAGACTGAGGAAGCCTCAAAATTTCAAAATGATTCTAATTGGGGATATTGAGCAAGAATCACACACCAGATAAAAAAGTTGCTATTTCAATAGTGCAATCTAATAAGAATATGAAACTCAGATAATCCGGTGGCGTACAATGACATTCACCATGTATATCGATGAATATACCCACTGTGACGCCACTGGAAATAATATTTCGAATCTAATTGCACTAGAAGAAGCTCTATATCACCTGCGATGAAACCACAACGTTTTATTGAAATTGATGAAAAGACAATTGAGAAATGAATAGAAAAAGATTTTCATGGAAATATTAATGCCCTGTATCTCGAAAACGAAGCAAGTTAGGACACATATTTATATGAACTTTATTTCCTGAAATGGAAGGGAATCACACCTTGCATTTTTTCAATGTTATTTAGATACACCCTGTATACGCTAACATTACGGAACAGGAATCTACGATTCAATCGAAATTTCATAAAAATCGCACAAGGATTAAAAAAGTAAAAAAGTTGGGCAAATTTTTTTGGGGGAGTTTTTTTTGCCGGTGAGAGTATAATTCGAAGATAATCTTCATCAGCCCTCCCTTTACCTGAGTCTAGCCGTTTTCGAGAAACATGCACATGATTTTTATTTTTTTTCCAGTTTGAACATTCCTCTCTCAAAACACAAATTACTTTTCATTGTCCATCATGAATATATCGAAATCTTAACATTTTGATTATCCCTCAATATATTCCTGTTCATAAATCATGCTCTATGAATAACAGTGCATCAACTAATCAGTTCATCAAATTTGAAACGATACTGAGCCTATTTTAATATCAGGTTTCCTGACCATACTTTATTTCATTGCTTACAAATTGCAGCCCAGATAAATATCTGAAAAAGAACAGTTGTTCGATCTTGTTGCAACCACACACACCTAACTAAATCTTCTTCCATTCAGACCATGAAATAATCCATTAACCTTCAAAACATATATTATTATTACTGCTAAGAAGAACATGATTACAGTGATGAGCGTATGAAATTTTCGTTACCTGATTTTTTTACTGTACTTCTAGTTAAATCGATACGGTTTGCAGTTTTTTCCAACATATAAAATTGTTGATTGACTTAACTGCGTTTTAGTTTGTCAAAAGCTGCACAAGATGCACCTGAGACTTCTGAGTTTGGTGCTACTGTTTTCCATCCAAGAAAGTGTACTTTGTGAGAATGTGTTCGACTTCTTCAAGGGCTTCGTCGCCTACAAAGGTTGTTTTTACAAGAAAGATCCAGGGTTGTGTCTCAAGGAAAAAGCTTTGTTTGCTCTGAATGAAACCATGATGGACGATAGGCCGATCACCATTGGGTTCCTGGAGATCCAGAAGAATCAGTACTACTTCTTGAACAGGACGGATAATAGTAGCCTTCCTGAAGAAGCGACTGAAAGAAGTGCGAAACTCAGTGACGTCTTGATGGAGAAGATCGAAGATTTCCTCAAATCACGGACTGTCAAGCTGAATTTATCTAATGCATTTGAAGGTGAGGGACATTATAATGAAAATTTGTGATAACAATAGTAGATTGTTTTATTAGGATCAAAAGTGACACTTTGCTTGATAAGCGAATTTTGCATTTGCGAGGCGGAGCGTTTAGCGAAGCCAAGCGAAAGCAAAATTTGCGAGTCGAACAAAGTCACTTTTGATCCGAATGAAACATGCTATTTTTTCTGCAACCGAAACAATTAACTCAAATAAATATGTGAAGTTACCACCAATGCCGTGCCATATGTATGCAATGCAACAAATATTGACAAATAATCCGTGTACTGGGAGCATTCTACCTGCATCAACAGCAGGTTCATTCAATTTTCAAGGATGTTCGAATTGTAATCTCAATATAAATAAAATCACAGAGTGACATATTTGTGTATGGACCAGGTGCTCTAATGGCAAATACCGCGCCAGTGCCAGCTATAGGAACAAGACCTGGAAAATGTTAGGTCAGTGAGCATATCAACAATAATAATAGCGATTATTTATTCCTCTCCATACTACAGTTACTACACTGTGTTTGACTTGATAATCAAATGAAGCTAAACAATATTGTTGTTTGAGACAAAAAAACTATTGCTCACCGTGATTATTCAAAAACAAGTTATCCATCCAGAGAATATCGAATGAAATAAAGATCAAGCAAGTATTTGAATCTTGAAGGCTCTCCTGATCAAAACAAAAATACTCAACTGAGATGTTTATAATTTCAATACTCAACTAAAATAAGGTTTATTTATATCCCCAGCATGGGTATGAAATGCCAAATCTGCCGAAATCGGAAACAAATCAGGTATGCGTCTCAACCCAAATAACCAACCGTCACAATGTTGTTCATTCTTGATAAAGCCCAGTACATCCTTTTTAGTTCCTAGGAGCTAAAGTTCAACTTTAGCTCCTAGGAACTAAAGTTCAACTTTAGCTCCTAGGAACTGAATATGTTACCTAGCAACATACCTATTTCTGTGTCAGTAATAGAAACGTCAATTTAAGAGCTAATTCTGGTATCAAAATGGACGACTTTTGTGTCGGTTGCAGAAAAAATAATTAATTTGAAATTGATACACTCTAGTTCAAGAGATATGTTACGATTTCATAGTCAATCTATTCGAATGCTCCGTTTGCAAATTTTTATTTCTACGAGAAAAAAGATCAAATCTAGATTTGACTGAAAATGCCATACAAGTCATTTGTTACTTTATGGTTACCAGCAAATATTTTGGAAGATTTCCATCCACATGGGCATGTAGACATAAAATTACTAAGTGGAAATTTTCTGGTACATGACAGCTAACATATAAATAGACATGATTGAAATAATTTCGACAATATTTTCAATTTTCCGGAAAGCTAGTAAGAAAATCTTATGACATCGATTATTTTTATACAGGGTGTTCCTTGAAGACATGCTGATATTCGAGGGGGAGATTCTTTGACTCATTTTGAGAAGAAAACCTTATATAAACGTATGTCCCAGAAGTATTAACTTTCGAGATACAGGGTGATCAAATTTCGAAAAATATTTAGATTATCGATAATAACTGAGACAATATTGTTTACATCTTCATGAAATTTGGTATACGTCTTTTCTGCATCAAGGTGCATTTTCTGATGAACAAAAATTCACATTTTCTCTACCAGTGGCACCGTTACGGAATATTATTGTTTATATTTCACTTAGGAGTGAGCAACGTCGAAAACTTTTCAAATTCCGTACAATGCTATGAAATGCTATTCAGGACCAGACTTCAAATGTTGAAGTCTGAGTACTCAATTCAGGACATCCATCACTATATAACCACAGTATGTAACATTTTGAAATTTTCATAAGGATTCAGTCACATTGCAGACTGAATTTTGCCATCACGAGATGATACAGGGTGGGCAGAAAAAGAATTCATGCGTATTTTCAACACTGACACCCTGTATCTCGAAACTTAGGACGTTTACGAGATACGTTCATAAGAAGTTTGGATCTTGAAATGGGTCGAATAAGCGGCCGCTTGAATATCAGCATGTCATTAAGGAACACCCTGTATAATAATGTATCTGATACTATGAATTTCGATTAACTAGGGTACAGGGAGAGTAAATATTCACTAAATATATTTTTTCAAATATGATCCTGGTATCAAATTGTCTTACCGAATCCTCCACGTGCATCAATTAATTGCAAGAAATTTGTCTCATACATAAATCCCTCGTCGCTTCGCGATTCGTTCATATTTTCAACAAAATTCCGGCAATAATTCATCCTCTAGGACGCAGGTTACATTTTTGACCAATGAAAATCATGTATTTTGTATCGTTGCCATAGCAACTAGATACGTTTCTGGAATTTTTTTGCTGTAACATTAACTTTCCACCAAGTCAGCACATCCTTCGTCGTTAACCTTCAAAAATGTCGAACAACAATATATCAAATCTCGTTCGTCTATAGTAGAAATGGAAGTATTCCTATCTCCGTATTCTCCCTAGGTACGCGATGTTCCACGAACATCATAGGAATTTTCTCTCGTGGGCTCCAAGAGATAAAAAAACTTCAGATTATGTCGAATTCATTCTATAAGTTCATAAGTTCCTTGTGAGAAATTATATTTCTACTAACTTAAGCTAAATGAATTTGTAAGAAACTGACAATTATATTCTATCCAATCTCACAATATCACGTGAGCATATTTTATTCATACTGAATAGTACTCCTAGTTTCTTCTGAGTAAATACATTTCTACCCACTTAAGTAGAGAGAATCTGTGGAAAACTGAGAAATTGAGATGCTATCGACTCATTCGATATAATTTTATGTATCAGTAAGTTACTTTTGTTCCATTCAACCTAACAATGTTATCGTTGTAAATTTTATTGATACTACATACTGCTTCGAGCTCCTTATATCAAAATGTATTTCTACCAACTCAAGTGAAATGAAGTTAATTTGAAATAATGGTTTGAACTTTCAGCAGCTGCCTGATTGTACGAGTACGAATAAACTATTTATTGTACGAATATTGCACCTGAAAAAGCTACTCTGTAAACAAAACATCTCGTGTATTCAAGAATTTTAGGGAAGTTTCATTATTTATATTTTTTTTTATATTCACGAGTAATTTCAAGTTCGTGAAATTGATATGATAATATTCAGTACCTGAATGCTATGGATGTCAAAGACATTCCATGTTCATTTGTATAATTGTGTTCGTAACAGCCATATAACGACATAACTTGGTCATAAATGTCAAGACTTTATTTATTTATTTCTATGAATACATCTGACTAACAATATGATTATTCCTATACAAATTCCAGGAAGGAAATCGAAAGTAACTGTTATCAAATTTCTATACTAAAGTGAACCAACTGATTCAATTTCTTCTGGGTATAGATGGATTTTTTCAATGAATTTTCGCAAGTGATATAATTATAAAACAGATTGCAGCCAACAACGGATACAACGTTAATTTGATAAACAGAATTCTATCTGAAAGAACTTCATAATAAAGATATTCAAGAAGTTTATCCTGCCATCGAGAATAATAGTCAAAATTATAAAACTTCAACCTATTTTGAATCATCAACTGAAAAAGTAGCTTCATTTCTACATAAACAGGACTTAAAAGTAGCTTATAGAACAAATAATAACAAGTTGGGGAGGTTTGTCGGAAATAATAAATACAAAACTTTCAAATTCGATAAATCAGGGGTATGAAAACTCAACTCTTGTCCTGATGTATATATCGGTCAGACAGGTCGTACGTTCAATCAGCGCATTCATGAACATAGGATGCTTTTTTTTAAAAGGAACACAAATTCAACATACGCCAACCATATATTAGATGAAGAAGTTTTTATATTTGCCATGAATTTCCAACAAGTAACAGCCGAGTCAATTCAAAAAACCAAGTGCCATTATTCAGTCTTCAGAAATAATAATAATAAACCGAGGATGGCTTAGATCGGTTATTTAAATTGAAGAATTTTCGGAATTCGATTCATCATGTTACTCCTATTAACCTAGAAAACTGAAAATATTTCAATAGTGTGGGGGACATAAGTTTGTAATGTTTTCACCCCTTTTGACAAGTCTTGTTCCTGTCGTTAATCAAAAATACAACTATCAAGTAGAAAAATAAGCTTCAATCCAGTCTTGTGTAGAACCAAGAATGATCTTCAGATTTTGCCTATCTGAGCAATTGGTAAAGTAGGATATATAAAAGTCAAGCAAGCCAAGGTTGGTCTACTTCATTGTACCAGTATATCACCTGACGAAGTTACTGTGTTAATGAATTATGTCGTGTGTTTGAGAATTTCGTGGAAATCTTATCGTTTGTGAAGTTTTTACATTAGTAATCAACCACTTCTCAATCAATCAAAACTACTGAAAATTCACCGACAGCAAAGCTCAACAAGTGAATCATTTCAGGACGCAAAGGCGGAGGAGGCGGTGGCAAGAAAGGCGGCAACATGGCCATGATGGCGGCAGCAGGAATGTGCGCCATGATGGCCCAGATGGTCATGGGCAAGATGATGATAATGGCCGGTTCTGCCCTGATGATAGCCAAGGTCTCCCTGATGCTCTCCATGATCATGCTGGTCAAGAAGATGCAAGGAGGAAACGGAGGGGGAGAGGAGAAGCACATAGTGTATGCCGATTCTGGGCACAGTCACGGTGGTGGAGGTGGAGGTTATGGTGGAGGTGGATGGCACCGTAGTTTGGAGGACCCCCACAACGTGGTCTACAAGGGGCAATGGACCGCGTCTACGGATAACGAATCAGGTTTATGAAGTATGAGCATGTGATGTAGTAGAGAACGGATTTGACGGAGTTTCATGTGCGAATGATCGATTTCAACAGCTGATATATTGGAAACCAGTCAAGATATTCAGTATTTCAAAAAGATTATTTTTAATAGGTTCTTATAGCACGAATTCGCTTTTATCCAAAGATACGCGTATAGGCAAATTGTGGTCCAATATATTCTCAAACAAAATGAAAATCTCCGAGTCGGTTGACCACAATTTGTGTAGAAATAAAATGATAAAACAGTTACCGGTCTTAGCACAACGGCTATCAGTAGACTGCAGTACAGTAGTCACTTTGAATTCAACCTGTCATTGGGTTGACCATCGAGGCAAGTCAGATATGGAGAATTTTTGTTTGAAACGGCTGAAGAGCCAGAAAAATCTTGCCCTGATGAGGTTTTACATATAGTGCGGTCGATGGACTTGTGATTTTTATTTACGTATAGGCGATTCCTACATAACAATCAGAGCGATCTGGGCTATGTTGGTGAATAACGTACATTTTCACATTATGAGAAACATGATTTTCTTGTGCAATGTTCAGTTAGTGGCTGAGAGGCCTTAAATAACGCGATCGACAAGGGGCAGTCGACCGCTTCCACAGATAACGATTCAGGTTTATGAAGTATGGTATTAACAACGATAGCCAATATGGCTTTCGTCTCACATACATTGCGGAAATCTATTGGAAAATATGGTGGAACCTTAGCCCTGACACTTGATACCTCCAAGGCATTCAATCGGGTCTGGCACCACGGACTTCTCGCCAAGCTTCCATCTTATGGCTTGCCTCCCCAGCTATGGTCTCTGCTAGCTATTTTTCTTCCTAACAGGTATCTCCATGTAGTGGTGAACGGAGTCCCATCTGACTCTCTTATCATAAATGCTGGTGTTCCGCAAGGATCATTGCAAGCACCAACACTATATTTCTACTCCATATCAACGATTTGTTGGAAGCAACTTCATGTCCAGTACACAGCTTCGCAGATGATAGTACCCTCCATACCGCCTTCTCTTCCAGGGCTCCAATACCAGCCAGGCAGATCAGAAACGAACGAGGGAGAAATGTTGAAAACATAAAAATGGACTTGATAACAATTCTCAAATCGGGATACAATAACTTGGTTGATTTCAATGCGAACAAAACACAAGCATGCGTTTTCTCTAGAAAAGCCGATCCCACTGTGCCCAACATACGCTTGTCAGGAGTAATCAAACCTTTGAAGACATCCATTTCGCTGCTTGGTACTACTATCAGCAATAACTCTTCTTGGGAATATCACGTGAGATCAATTGCTAGAAGTGCATCCCAAAACATGGTTTTTTGTTTCGTGCCAGGAGGTATTTCACTTCCAGTCAGCTGCTCATGATCTATAAGGCACTGATACGACCTGTCCTGGAATACTGTTTCCATATTTGGAGTGCAGCACCCAAACATACCCTGAAACTGTTGGATACTGTCCAAAAAATGTCCAATTCGTCCCGTGGGTGATGCCTCGCTCACAAACTCACTCACTTCTCTGGGGACAACTAACCATATAGATCCAGTAAAACATGTTCTAGAATCTGGGGTGATCGACTTGCAACATCTATGGGGTAGTGGGTAGTACCACCCTTATGAATATAGACAAAATCTGGATGCTCCCATGAATATATTTGCTTGGACAGCTTGTTCTGCTGTTTGCTGACATTCCACATATTCTTCTCTGATGAATTAGATAAAAAATTATGAGATATTTCTCATAAAATTTGTTAGGTTTTCCTTCTTCTGCCAATATTATTTTGAGATATGGAAGAGAATAGTGAGGCATAATCAAATGATTACTATTTATAATTTTCAATAATGTATCGATTCTACAGGTTGATACAATGAACTTACAAGAAATGAAATTCCATTTGTCCTGTACTTATACAAAATGTTGAAGAAAATCTGTTGTGCCATCGATTGAAAGTGAATAAAATCCATTCAAATTTGTTTCCTTGAGATCTCGAAAATGTTCTCGATTGATTTCTGAAATATCAGCTGCAGGAGTTCATAACTCCACTGTCAATAAACCTATTCGCATGGTTATTTGACAGTCAAACTCGTTCTGAAATAGATTATTGAAAGTATTTTACTCTGGATCCCTTACTCTTAGCTGGAATATTTTTAGGTAGCCTATACTAATTGGAATGTTTCATTCTGATTTGACCACTCCTTACTTACTAAAAATATTCTTGTTTCAACAAACTGGATTCTTTGATTACACAAACACTTGCATGATACGTCGTTTTTCGTACCTATGTAGATACTTATAAGTAAGAGATCAGAACCAATATGGAATTTATTCATCAATATGAAAGTTAATCTCGAAAATTCAAAACTCAATCAAACAACACACAAACGTATCATGAATTTTCTGACAATTATAGATTTGTCAGAATAGAAATTATCGTTCCACATATTTGATTTGATTGAGTGGCAGTTTTCAAAAGTTCCTTTTCTCAATGAAACTTTTTGTTTTTCAGATGGTAACCTAATTTTTCATCTGAAGAAAACAACAACCTGAAATAGAAGATGCCCTGAAGAGTACGTGTATATATCATTAGTTATATTAACTAAACTGAACTGTTTTTATTTGACAGTAGTAACTTATTTATTATCAACATTATTGATTTGTTTATCTATTTATATTTATTGTAGGAATAACAAATACATATTTTGCATAAAATTTCACTATGATCCTTTATTGTGGAGATTGTTCTTCAACAATACAGAAAATGTACAGGGTGCTCGATTGAAGTTGGCAAATGACCAAGTTTCATTAACACTACTCGTGGAAAAATTCTCATGGCATGAACTGATCATCATTTTCGTCATATATCTCCATCATGATCATTCGTTGGGCTCAATATGAAGTTAGTGGACGACCTCAATCAAGCACCCTGTATATAATGTTAAGTCTCATTTTCTCTTTTCATTCCTGATCACAATCGGGACACCTACAAGTGAATCCGTTTTGTCTCCAATGTATGAATAGCACCATAACCTCAATTCCTAGAAACAGGTATCACTGCGATTCTCCAATGAGTTGTCTAGCTAGAAAACTTCACACAAAATATACCAGAACATTGATCAATGAACCAACAAGATTGGTGTGTGGTGTATCAACAAAAACACATATTCGTTGTGCAATAGAAAAACTAACGATATCAATAATATCCTTCCTACAATTATTTAAATCTCAATAGATGATCACTGTTAAGTGGATAGGTAGGTATGGTCACTGGGTATGCAACTATTGATAAGTTCAAGTTTTTGATCTTGACCGACGCTATACTGTGGGTCACTGATTTCTCACAGACTTTAAACTTTCACTGTTTCAGAACGCAGTTGTAACGTTGTCCCAGTTTTGCTACATGACACTCGGCATCTTTTTGGTTCATTACACTTTAAAGTACATCTTTAAACATTTTATTTGTTTCTTCATGCCTATTCACTTTCATTCGCAGAGTTTTTTTGTTGTCTAATGATGTTCATAAACATTGAACTTTTACTCAGTTTGGTTCTATTGGCACAGGTATTTATCAACCTGATAGGAGATGTTTTTCTTACTTTCGCTATATTGGTACAAATTTGTTGCTAAAGAAAGTTCTATAACAAGTGTGAAAACTTCCCACACCAAGAATAATTTCATCATCATTAGTGATTAAAAATCGCGTTATTTCTAGCACTACTTAATCAAACAACATCATACACAATTTCCTGTATAAAAAAAATAATTTAAAATAAATAATATTGCTCCTAGCATCTTTAACAAACTCAAAGATAGGTCTTAATGATCCTAGTGGACCCATTCCAATCATTCCTATCATACGCTTTATGATGATCATCCTCATAAGAAGTTGAATGGGTATGACTCTCGCTGTATTTAGGCTGCTTGATGATTTCGAAGGTGGTAGATTCTTGTCCGCTGCTCACCAATTTCTTCAACCCCAAGATGGCGGTCAGCATCAGCGCCATCTTGCCCATGATTAGGGCAAGACCCGACATGATGGCGATACCCTTGTAGGCTACCGCTAGGAAGGTGCCTTTGATGGCGAGGGCCCAGTATAGGGCAGCGTTGTTGCCACCTCTGTTCCCTTTTCTCTTCCTTCCTTCTTCTACTAGGTCGGGAACTTTGATTTCCAGCTGATGGGTATCCAAGAACCTACGAGGAAATGTAATAATGAAAGGTATTTGTGATGTTGATACTGAGAATAATAACTTTTGATTCTTAATTTCATCCTGATTCAGTATTCTGAGGAGATAATTAATCGATTCAATTCGTACGCTCTGATTACTTTTGAACTCATTATTCGATGCATTATATATAATACTAGCAGACCTCGCAAACGATGTTTTGCTATATACATTATTTTTATAATATATGTTTCGAGTTCAATATACATTGAGACACTATCATTATTCCATTTTCTACTTCTTTTTTGTTTCGCTATCTATAATGTCGTGTTTTTTAGTTTCTCAAACTAACATTTATTTCAACTTCTTTTCAGTTCTCTTGAATTTTTCAATTTTTGACGGAAGAATCATAATGTCCGACTTCAAAAACCCAAAATGGAAATGTCTGATAGAATCGGAACATGATTACACAACTCGTCCGCAATATTGGATCTACCATCTTGGATTCCCAAATTTGACGAAGGGATCATAATTTCTGATCCCGAAACCGCCCACTTACAAATCTTGAATATAATCGGTATAGAATTACAAAATTCGTCCGGTATATTGGTTCCACCGTCTTGACTTTCCAAATCCCGCTCTATCCAAATTTAGACAGAAGAATCATAACCTCAGACATCGAAAACACTCAGATAACAATTTTGAAGAGAGTCGGATCATAAATACAATACTCGTCCGCCATATTGGGTCCGCCATCTTGAATTTCCTAAGTTTGACGACAGAATCATAATCTCCGACCCCGAGAACCACCAGATACCAGATTTGAATGAAATTGGATCCTTATTACAAAATCCACCGTTTTGGATCTGCCTTCTTGAATTCCCTAATTTTGACGAAGGAATCATAATCCCCGAGCAGGAAAACACCTAGGTACCAATTTTGAGAAGAATCGGATTAAATTTACAAAACTCGTCCATCATTTTGGTTCCGCCATCTTGAATTTCCAAATTATGCCCGAATTCGCAAATTCTGATGGAAGAATGATAATCTCCGACCCCGAAAACTCCCAGATACCTATTTTGAATAGAATCGAACCATAATTATAGAACTCGTCCGATATATTAGATCCGCCATCGTGAATTTCCTAATAGTACCGGGATTAGAAGTATCTTATAACCTTCTTCTACAAACAGACAAACAAACAAAGAAACAATCAAATCTCTTCTCTTGATAATATAAGTATAGATTGAATCATTATATAGTGATATACGATATTCTTGATGATGTGATTATATTCGGTGAAAAAATCCTATCAGAAAATATTCATGATACTGTATTGATACGACTCAGCTCGTTATTGACACTGATTCATTGGGTTCAAAACGTGATAAACAATAATATGAGTAGTCGAAAAGTCAAGTAATAGAGATAGTTGTTTTCTTCCAAACTTTCCACTCCTTACCTTTTAGTCGAATCTCCAAGTAAGTTATTCAGTTGCTCGTCATCCAAATTATCTAGCTTGGTCTCATTGGAGCTCAGCCCAAATCGCATACTCTTTGACAGCCTCCCATTGCTCACTAATTTCACTCCATCAACAATATCCAAACTCCTTGCTTTCGTCGCACGTTCAGCCACCTTGATTGCTTGCACTTTAAAACACTTGAACATCTCGTTTTTCATGGTACACTGGTGCATTATCTTCCCTAGCACTTCAAATCCGCTGAGTTTTTCACTGGATACGTGAGGTGACATAATTAACGAAAAAAGAGACAGCAGGATCATGGTTGCTCGAAGACAGTTGAATCAAGACTATGGCAAGATAGTCAGGAATCTCCAATTTATTCTAAGGGTTGCGTGCATCTTTCAGAGCGTATGATTTGAATGCACTTCTGCAATTGAGGAAAAAACTTCACGCAATAAGGGAATTGAGGCAAGATAATAAAAAGAGAAAATATGATTATTGGGGTCATTTTCAAATTATAATTAGTTGCACCTTCGTGATGAACACAAGTAAATATCATATCTTGCTCACGAATCAATGGACCAAGGTAGTAAATGTTCTTGAAACATCATCCTAGGTCTGAATATTTGCTGGAAAACTATTGGGCTGTTCTGATAGTAGCTGCTAATTGTGAGATATATTTCAGCTCAAAATTCTCAGGTTATTCACATGCTTCCATCAAGAGCACGAAGATTTTGTGTAGAAGTCGCAGTCTCAATTTTGGGAGGTAAGATAAAAATAATAAACTCATTATGACCAACAATCTGTATCTAATTGACCATAATTGAAGAAAGTTCCCTAGTTACATCAACAAGAATCAAATCAGCGTAAAAAAGCGACTAACTAGCAGAAAGAGAACACTTTCAAGGATATCGTACGTTGATGAATGGGTCTCTTGATGAAGAGTTGGTAGCTTAGCTTCTCTTGTAACATATTATGGAACAGTAAATCAATTTCTCCTACTATCGTCAATGAACATAGCAGGTAAGCTAGATGCTTAATGGATTAGTTGAGTAGACAACTTGCTACACTGTCTGACATTTCATTGATTTTATTATAAGTGGTATCGAAGTATCTCAATGAATGACATAGTTGTTGTGCCACATCGACCAATTCCTGGATATTATTCTTCAGATCAAGATATTACTTCCTTTTCATGTTTTCTTCATAGCTCCCTACGTTTGGTTGGAACAGAGATTCTGTTCAAGGGTTCACATCATACAGTATGGCAAGTGATTGTGAGAATCTACTGGGAGATATTTCATCAGAAGTGGAGCCATTTGTCGTGGCATGAACTTTTTTGTGATGATTTTTTGTAATTCGCTAGATTTGATGAATATTTTCAACCAATGATCAAACAACGCTACGCTCAGTTTGTGATCTCACTTACAAGTGTCCGAACATTACCCGAAGAATAATAGACCTATAACGAACCTGAACGTTCTATATGAAAGGAGCAGAAAAGAAAAATAGTATATTATGTGATAAGTGGTATAAACGTCCTTGTAGTTGTAGCACGAGCGCAGCAGAGTGGAGCGAGTATTTATTAACCGAGTGTCTAGAACTCATACTTCCCCTCTATGAGAAGATTCCATGATTTCAAAATTCAGATCAATCCACCTGGCTTACCTACGAGATAAATCAGAGAAAATGGGAATAGAGAATATAAAACAATACTATATGCAACTGCATGCAACCCACGAGACACTTATGAGTAATATTGGTTGTGAATGTGTCCAGTCCATATGATACATGAATGACTTGCTTACTAACCTTCGCGAATAAGAAATTTTCATCTAACGGAGAAGATGAAAGCTCTTCGATTCACTGAGGTATCAAAGTTTGCGATTTGAGTTATGTGAGTTGAAGGAGATTTAAAAACTCCAACGCTCTGTATGTGTATGGAATCGTTTGCGTTTACATATTTATCGGGTGACAAGTTTCATATTGACATGAAACAGAAATTCCTGGAATCTTGATACTGAATTTTGCAACGCCCTGTATAAAAGAAATCGAATTAACGCAATCAAATCATGACTACTAGGTTACTGGAACTTTGTGGAATAAGTGTGTGAATAGTTCCATTTGCATTATTGAAGGCCTTGCGTAGTTCTGTTTCCGCTTCAGAAAATATATAGCCACCGCAATGTCACTCTTCGTTTCGTTTGTTTCTTCTTCTGCTTTGTCATCGTTAGTTTTTTTCTTCGGTGAGGTAACAATGACTAGATGATATTTGCATTCGTCTATTGTTCATCGATTGAAACTGTTTGAATTGGAGACAGTTCAAGTAGGAGTAACCAAGAACCTTTGTGCAAGAAAATGGATGCAATGAATTATTTCCAGAAATTGGATTGGTTGTATTCCATTCTTCTCAACTCAAGAAAGAAATGTTAAATTAACAATTTCTTGTTGATACTTCAGAAATCTCTACAATTAAAGGTTCTATTCGCATGAAATCTGAAGCCAAATATAAAACTTTCAGTACGTGTCCATTCGGTGTAATCCGAAGAATAAATATTTGAACAGATTCCAGAAGACATCCTAGCTGGCTTTTCACTAGTTATGCAAAGTTTGAGGTCGTTTTGAGAATAATAATGTCCGCATTAGCATACTTTCGATGCTTGTTTAATTCGAGAGAAAATATCGAGATTGTTAGACATTACTAGCATAAAAAGGAATGTCGAGATGCAGTAGATTTGGGTTATCTTGTGATTACCGTTATGAATAAATGCTCATAGTCTTGGTTATTTTATTAGCAATGTTGATAATTTCTGAAAATCATATCAATCACAAAATGAAACTTGAGAATGGAGCTAGAATGGAAGCATTTCATTTCGCTGAAGATACCTGAAAATTCTATAAAATTGAAATCAATCAATTTAAATTGCATACAATAGCTATTTGTGTATTTAGAGCTCGGTGACTATTTCGTACTGAAGTCTCAAATAGGAAAATGAAAATTTCTATTTGGCCCACTAAAAATCTGAAAAAATCCACATAGACTAATTCGATGTCGAAATGAACGAATATTTGGTGAAAATGAGAGAATTTTGGAAAATGGAGACGTAGTAGCCTACCGGAGTGCAAATATTGGCAATAAAAGCGGAAACCTGACTTTGAGCGCCGATATCTCAAGAAATATCTGTCTTATCGGGCTGATCATGGTCTCATTCCATTTAGCGTGTCATTTTCTACTGGAAAAGCAATAATTCGCGTGAATTTCTGCAGTTTCCTGGCACTTTCTGCCGTCCGAAGATAGCTCGGTGACTATTTCGTACTGAAGTCTCAGGTAGGAAAATGAAAATTCACATTTGGCCTATTAATTATGTGAAAAAGTTCACATAGACTGATTCGATGTCGAATTGAATGAATCTGTGGTGAAAATTAGGAAATTTTGGAAAATGGAGACGTAGTAGCCTACCGGAGTGCAAATATTGGCAATAAAAGCGGAAAGCTGACTTTGAGCGCCGATATCTCAAAAAATATCTGTCCTATCGGACTGATCATAGTCTCATTCGATTCAGCATTTCATTTTCTACTGAAAAAGCGATGATTTCCGTGAATTCACGCCGTTTTCTGGCACTTTCTGCCGTCCTAAGATAGCTCGGTGACTATATCGTACTGAAGTCTCAGGTAGGAAAATGAAAATCTTTATTTGGCCTATTAAAAATCTGAAAAAATTCACATAGACTAATTCGATGTCGAAATGAATGAGTCTGTGGTTTAAATTAGGAAATTTTGGAAAATGGAGAATAATTTCAAGTTTACAGACTTCTTCATGGACGATTTCTGGTGTAGTTTTGTGAATTAAGTGACACTATATAAGACGAGAACTGCGACTTCCTATAGTGTTTTTTTCTATCAGCTCAGCTATTGGTGGAGTGTCTTAATGGCGTTTTTCAGCAAATATTACTTTGAACGACGAGGGCGTAAAGTGATACTTTTAGGCCTGAAAGGGTCACGACCAAGGTGTTACTTTTATGTCCACATTTTCGGCTGTAAAGTGTCACTTTCAGGCCGACAAGACGATAATTATTTTTTTAATTACATCGTGAACGAACAAATCTCAGATTGAACATGTTCAGATAACTGAAATGCGCTAAGAAATCATTCAACTTTCAAAAGGAATCAGATTCATTATGGTTAAGAATATTTACACTCACACATACATTCATAACCTATCTGTACACATCCCCCTCAGAATTTCACTATAGACAAGATTTCAATGTAAATGATGCAGGGTCATTTGGCAAAATACTTCACTAATATCAATGGAGTAATAGTCTTACCGAGATCAAAATAAAATGATGTATGTGTATTGGAACAGGTGAAATGGTCATAAATTCAGCGAAGAATACACGTGAGTGATATGGGTGCGGTCCTCAATCACGAGATACCGTTAAGGCTGGATAAATATGGGCAAGGTGAAATATTTTTTCTGTCAACCTTGACCGAAGAAAGTCATCAGGATGTGAAGTTTTCACTTCCAGTGAGGAATTTGCGCAATAGTCTACTCACAGGTTGAAATGAACCACCATCAGCATGTTAATTGAGTTGAATTGATTAATCAGAATATTCTGGAACGTTAGGAAGAATTCTTGTTTCTATATCAGACTTCTGATACCGAAAATGGAACACTATTATAGATATTCCATCATTTTCACATCAGATGAAAGTTTTTGTAGATTTGTATTGGACGAAGAGATGTATTCGTTTAGTAAAACAATTTGTCATTAGAATCATGCATATCTTCAATGTCAACTATCATAACTGTCAATAATACGATTTCTTTACTGCCAAATTATGAGAAGATTTGATTGTTTGTTTCTTTGTTTGTTTGTATGTATTGAATAGGCTCCAAAACTACTGCATCGATTTGGCTGGAAATTGGTGGGGAGGTAGCTTAGAACCAGGAGAAGGTTATAGAATACTTTTTATCCCGGTACCATTAGGAAATTCAAGATGGCGAATGTAATATATCGGACGAGTTTTGTAATTATGGTCACAGTCATCACAATTTGAGAACTCGGTCGGAATTTGGATATTGAAGATGGCGGAACCAATATGGCGGACGAGTTTTGTAATTATAATCAGATTCTATTCAAAATTTGTAACTGGGCGTTTTCGGGATCAAAAATCATTAATACTTCGTCAAAATAGGGAATTCAAGATGGTAGATCCAATATTGCGAACGAGTTTTGTAATTATGTTTCGATACTATTCAAAATTTTCATCTAGGGTTCTAAGAGTC